GAGCATTAGCAGCAGTAGATTGAGTTGACACACTTGAAGAAGCACTAGGTAAGGCAGAAACAAATGTTGCTGATGGCACATTTAGAGTGGATGAACTAAAACGAGTATCAACAATCAAAGATACAAATGATGAATAAGGAAACCCATGATAAAATAGAGCTGACATCCCTGAAACTCCAAGATACGGAGAAGGTGGATATACCTAACCAGCTTGATAAGTGGAATAAGAAAGAGCTGCAAAATGGGTGTAAGCTTGTACTCTAGCAAAAGACGAGTGACTATCAGCGTTTGAACTCGATGATCTCTTCTAAGCATCACTATTCAGACCCTCACCAATAGTGATTCCAGTAAATTCTCTATCAAACCGATGATAACACTTTTGAACAATGTGACCAAACTTACCACACAACTGACATTGAGGTCGATTTGAGCCATTTAATCTTCCTCGACCTCGCCCATGATAACCATTACCTTGTTTCCCTCTCATATGAGAAGACTGTTTCTCAGGCATATCTCCTTTAGTGGAAATCTTCACAGGCACATCACTAACACGAGTATCGTTTGAACGAACTGCCATATTAGATGAAATACCATCACTAAGAAAAACTTTTTGTCGAGCTTCACAATCAAGAAACATCTCAGTAAGCACATCTAATGATAAAGCTTCACAAGATGCAATAGCAATAATGGACTCAAACTCAATGGATAACCCAACAAGCACAACACTAACCTGCTCCTGCTCAGTAACAACACAACTAGCTGCATTTAACATATCAAATATAGACTTTACCTTTGCTAAATACTCACTTACAAACGATCCAACCTTTCTTTGAGAGTGCAAATTATGTCTAAGTGAATAAATTTTAGCCCTAGATCTAGTTCCAAACAATCGTGCTATCGCATTCCAAATAGTAAGTGAAGACATAAGCCTTGTAAGATGAGGTAAAACATCCACACTATCCGTTGTCAATAACCAAGACGCTAGCAATTTATCTTGATGTCTATACATGACAAAGGGTGAATTCTCCTCAACTTGACCAGACTCATTTGTAATCCACTCACTCAGAACACTATCATGAAATATATTTCATTAAACCATAACCATCAAGAATAATAGACACTTGATGCTTCCAAAGTAAATAACCAAGGGAATTCATCGGAGAGACAACATGCGGATCAGCCATGACTCTTACCAGAACAAACACAAAAACAAACCAGAAGCAACACACCTGATCTGATGCATCTTGCTCATGCACTCAATCAAAACCTGTAGCAGATAAGAACCACGTAGTGAAAAGAAAACCTCCAGGATATGGCGAAAGATACCATGTTAAAATAGTCAAACAACTATTATGTAAACACTCATAACAAAGAAATGAAGAGAAAAAAATTCCAGATTCATTTTTATTAGAATGAAAAAGTTGCATTTAAAGTCATACAAGGGGTGCTTATATACAAGGCTGAACAAACGACTCAAACCACCTCTTTTACCAACTTTGCAAGCAACCTTATAACAAACTCTTAACAGACTCTTAACAAATTCATGCAATGCAATGCACATCATTCTTCAACTTTCACCCTACTTGACAACTCATAACAATCACATCAAAGACCTTCATTCTTCAACACTATAGATATAGTGGCTTGAATCCATAATAACACCAGGCCTCTGATAATAATGCTTCTGCTAAGGAATGTTTTTTCTTCTTCTTTATGTTAAAAATATATGTAGTTTAGCAACAAATGTGAAAAACGATACTTTACTCAAACAAACATATGTACATGATAAATTTTTATTATTTTATATATAAAATGATTAAGAAAGATAATTGATATTATTATACAATATTTTTTTTGTATTTTCATATAATTTTCAAATAAAAGAATAATAAAAGTTCATTTTAAAAATTGAACACGAGGCATTAACTATTTATAATAGAATTTTTGTAAATATAATTTCTTTTAATAAAAGAATTTTCGGTTCATCATTCATGTTACAAAAACTAATATAACATTTTTTTTGGTGAACATCCCATCCATGCTATTAAATTCTTGTTCTTTATAAAAAGAACACATCGAATATAGTTTAGGAAAATAAAATACGAAGGAGAAAATATTTCAATTCCAAAAGGAAGAACCGGAGTTTGAGCGTTAAAACCTGCCGCTCTCCCGCCTTAACCATCGGATCCTTTTGGTTTACCAGTTTTCACTTTTAAATGTTTCACCGTAAACTGTTCTACACCAATCACAGTCTCTCGTTATTTTCAGTTTTGCGTCACAGAAAAATGCTCGTTTATTCTTACCATTTGCTGGAATCCAGAATCTTTTTTATTATCCTCGTAAGATTTAAGTTCTTTTTTTTTTCTCTTTTGAAATTGATTGATTTTCTTTCCTTCTTTTTTTTCAACTTTTTTTTATTGCAGTGACTATGGATAAGAGGAGGTTTCAAAATGAGAGAAGACAAATAGCATCAGCGATTCCCGGGACGCCATCATCACCTTTGAGATCGGCCTCCCCACTGCAGCGCCACACACGGTCGGGATCAAGCTATGGAGGCGCGGGGAACCCTAGGAAAGCGCAAACAAAAGCAGCGGCGCAGAGGCTGGCCGCCGTTATGTCGAATCAGCAGAACGATGCCGAAGGTGATGGTGATGATTATGAGCAGCTTGATCAGAGTAGCGTTAGTAGCACGGGAAGCTTTGGATTCGGTGGTGCAAGACCTACACCGACACTTTCTCCCTCTCCTATGGTAATATATTGTTACATTGATATATCCCATACGAGTATATGTTAAGTTTCATAGTATCGATGATGAAGTGTTCAACTAGTATTCAATAACTACTATAAGCCTATGTTAGTGCTTGACATTTTGAAAATACACCCGATCAATTTACTCTTATAGAGCATACGGATGAATCTAGGTGATAAGAGCATTAGTTCAACATTTGACTAGCATATTTTCAGTGCCTCAGTATGATTCTTAGGATATCTGGATAATCCATCAACGTATTTGACGATCGTCGATTCGTAGGTAATTTGAGTATCCTAGTCGTTACCTGAATGTCAAACAAAGACATAATTCTGATGGAATGTTATGTACTTACGCTCAACACACATGTTTCATTATTCATTCTAATATTAATCACACATCATTAATCTTCACTTCGTTAACTACTCACATTATCATCAAATTATCTCTAGCGATTTCCCTATAATACCCTAAGTCCACATAACATCCTTCGGTATCGATACCATACCTTAAATATTGATACAAACCTATAGGGTACTTCTTACCAGCTGGGTTTTATTCACTTGTAACATCCAGACTAGAAGGCGAGCTCCACAGGCAACACAACAACAAGCTGATGAGGACAATGGTGAGGATGATCTTATAGTTAGTGCAGGCCAAGTATAAGGCTTGCTGGTGGAAGACAACTGCGTGGGAGGTCCCCTTTGGCTATGGTAATCACAGTCAAATTATTTAGTTCTGAATCTCTTTTGTTGCTCTAAGCTAAATTTGTTCATGGTTTGCATACGCTAGAGTTCTAACATTGCAAGTATATATGTTCGTACCTGGACTTGCATTTTGAAATGCAGACCAAAAATATGCCTCAAAGGCGACCATCACCGGTAACGTAACAACAACCATCAGACAATGACAATGATGAGGATGCCCCAGTCAGTAACACAACAAGCATAGGTGCCCCTTCAAGGTTAAGGATGTCAAACTCTCCTGCGGTAATCATCTGATATGAAGTTGATTTTATCTAAGACCAGCAGCATGCGTTTGTCTAGTGAGATGAACAAACTTCTTGTTTTAGTTCAACACTTTCCATTTTATAAGTTAATATAACAGTTTTTATCAATTTATCACGCATACTAATGATTTTCAAACATGTAGCTGGTCTGAAATTTGTTTATGGTATCATGTAGCTGGTTTTACATTGCAGTTAAGTATGTTCTTTCCTCGACTTATCTTGTATTATCCAGAAAAAAAGCTTAGCTAAAACTAGAGCACCATTACCAGTATCTGATTCTAAGGATGATGAAGATGATCTTTTAGTGAGTGGCACGACAAGAATGTCTCGGTGGAAGGGCAGCACGGCCTTTGTCTCCTGTGGTAACTATGTGATTACCTGATTTAGATAGAATGTGTTTTTCGAATGAGCCTCGGTGACAGAGTTTCAATGCAGTGGGTGTATAATTGAGGCTACCAACAAATATTCTCAGTTGACTTACAGTGGGTAATTTTGCAGGTTAAAATCTTATCTCTGAAGCGGATGGCACAAACTACTATACAGCAAACTTCTGTGGTAATTTTGCGATTTCGTGTTATGAATCTGTTTTAGCTATTTTCTTGTTTGTAACGCTAATGTGAGAGAAGAAGAACTACTTAGGATGTGAGAGTAAGGAAACTATCTTACCGTTTTGAATGCTGGAGTTTTATGGTACCAGGAAATGAATTCTTATATAGGCTTTCGTTAAAAAACTCAGGTCAGACCTATGGCTCAAAGGCCTGTGCAACAGGGAGGACCACAACCAAGTGATGAGGACAATGATGAGGATGATCTTGCTAACAGTTCAGTGAGTGACAAACCAACCATTGGGCTCGGCGGAAGACTAGGCCATCGTCTTCTCCCTAGGTAATTTGTTTATTAACTAAGTTTGCTCAGTTGTCTAAATTGTTTGTTTGTTTAATGCTTATATAACTGATTAATGTAGTTCTTACTTTTAACTTCAAATTTGCTTTTAGTCAGTTCATGTCAATCAAGATCAAACACAACCTACAAGTGGCCAAAACTCTGTGGAGCAATCCATGTCACCTTCAGCTGGACGATCATCTCTTCAAAGTTTTGCAGCTTTAAGTGTTGGCCGACCATCTGCATTTAACAGTTCTTCAGAACAACCTGTATCTCCTGGTTCCACAGGTCCAGGTCGCCAGCAGTCGGGAGTTGGGATGTTTCATGCAGTACCGAAAACAACCGCTTCTGTTCTACAAGATGAGGTACAATACTTTGTTAAACTATATATGTGTTCCCTTCTTGCATCCATTAGGTTTTTTGTTAGTTTTTTCATTTATAATAATTATTTAAACCTTGTGTATACATCACCATATCTTATTTTTCAAATTTATGTCTGTGTTCTATCCCAAAAAAGGAAAATAGTCGATATAGAACAATGAAGACCTTTAGGAAAAGGTTTACGTTCTTTCTTTCTTTCTTTTCTAAATAATGTGTTGCGAATTTCATGGCAACTTGATATGCTACAAGATAAAAATGAAAGTTTGCTTCAAAAGGTGATTTCAGTAACTCTTTTTCTTCTTTATCAAGTAACTTTTTTCTATTTTTGAATCTAATGAGATCTTATGATATGTTCTATTTAAAATTTGATATTGTACTTATGCACATCAATTTGGCTCTCCATCATCTTCAAGCACTGAGCCAATATTCTGAAGTTGTTGGAACAGTAATCTTCGAAAAAAACTGGCATAATCTATATGAGTACTTCCATTTGGATATTGCTGTTGCAGCACCATTTTCTTCCCAAAACTGATGTTTTTTCGTTAGCCAAACTAGCACTTCTGCCTATGAAAAATTTCAATAGCCATTGGAAGAGACTCGGATCTTTATTTTGCACCTACGGTCATGTTATTGATGCCTTCATTCCTATCAAAAGGAATTCGACAGGAGGTCGCTTTGGGTTCATTCGCTTTGCAGCTATTGAAGAATCAAGGAAAGCGATATTAAACATGAATGGCCTTCATATTTACGGCAGCAAAATTAGAGTCTCTTTGACTAAATATAAACCCTGACAATCTTACTGGCGAAAGTCCTCGACGACTGTTCAGAGTAAGTCTGGGATGGAAGATTCTCCGAGGATTAAACACTGTGAAGTTGAGGGTGTTGTGGACGAAGATAAACTTCAAGTGTTAAGTAACTGTCTTGTGGGGTAGTGCAAGAACTTTATCAAAATTGGTAATCATGCTAACCAAATACAAGCCAAAGGACTAGCTGGTTTCACGCTAATGAGAGTTACTGGGAATGTAGTTCTTATGGTTTTTGAAAACTCTGATTCGTTAAGAGGCGTGAAGGATGATAAGCTAAAGACTCTTGTAGAATGGTTTTCCAGAGTGGAAACTTGGTCAGAGAGCCTTGTGGTGGAGTGCCGGCGCGTGTGGTTAGTTTGCGAAGGTATTCCTTTTCATGCTTGGAATTGGAATACTTTCAAAAACATCGCAACTAAGTGGGGCAAGTTAATGGCAATTGACAACAGTTGTGAGTTTCCATCATCCTTTGATCGGGCTAAAATCCAAATACTCACAAATGTTCATGGGAGAATTGATGAGAAGTTGGAGTTGAAGGTCGGTGATAATTTATTCAAAACCTTGGTGTATGAAGTTGACCCTTCCTTCAAACCTAATTCTTGGGTCCCTGAAGATTGCGATATTTCGTTAGATCTTGTCCCTCAAATTGAATCGTTATTGTTCGGCAGCGATTTTCAGAGGAGTTTTTTGTAGTTTGTGGTTTTAATTGTTGGTTTTTATTTTGATATGTAATCTTTCATCTTGAGGTTTTTTTTAAATTAGGGTTATGCCTTAGGGATTTTTTGAAGATGGAGGAATTTTAGGTGTTATGGTTTGTAATGGTGTTATTCCCGTATGAGGGTTTGGTGTTTCCATATGTAATTGGTCTTCTATTTAATAAAATATGAGGCACTCTTTTCTTCCTTCCAATGTTCTTCAACATACTTCTAAGTATGTGGAAGAATACGAAGGGAATTTTTAATGAGACTTCCAACTTCTATAAAATAATAATAATAATAATAATAATCGTACACTTTTTTTTTGTTCTTCATCATGATTTTTGCCTTCCCAGCTTCACCTTGCAGAGGAGAGGTGTGAAGAAGCAGAAGAAAGAGCTCGGTTGCTGGAGAAACAGGTGAGTTTTTCATAGTTTTCGAGGCAACTAGACAACTGATATGTAAATGAACTTTATATAACTCTGGCCAGAAAAGGAATGTATATGTTTAATTGATTCATAACATGTTCCGATATAGATTGCTGATCTCGGAGAAGGTGCAACTCTAGAAGCGCATCTTTCAAGCAGGCAAGCTTCATGGCTTACATGTATTCAATTTCATATTGTAGTTTGTTTTTCCTTTTCATTACTATTTCTCTCTCTTTAGTAAGGAAGCAGCCCAGCAGGAGAAAGAGGTTTGTTCTTTTAATGAGTGCTATTATTTCCTTAGCTCAAACTACTCTGCACGTGCTACTATTTACCGAGGTCATGCTTTAATCATTTTTAAACATTTAACTGTACAGATGATTCCTGCTCTTCAGGCAGAAGCTGAGGTATCATTGGATGTTATGTTCGGGTTTTATCTTTTGAATTTTAACATTTTAAAACAGGAACGAATCCATGCTTAAAATGATTTTGTCTCTTAAATTGTGACCTAGCTTGCAAGAGGTGAAACAAATTCTGCCCTACAGAAGCTCAGTAAAACTGAGTTTGAAATCAAAACACTGCAAACAGTAACTCAAAGGATGATGCTGACCGAGGAAGAGATGGTTAGATTTTTTCCTAATCTTGTAGACATCATCCCGTCAATATTTTCCTTTATGTCATTGTTACATAATCTGCAGTTTTCATCTTAGGAAGAGGTGGTTTTAAAGAGATGCTGGCTTGCTCGATATTGCTCGGTATTGGAGTTTATGTGTGGAACATGGTAAAGTGTTGATCTTTCAATACATGAAATTAATGATTGTTTTTGAGTTGATGCCGCTGTATTGGATAAACAGGTCTGCTTATATGTAGTCTCTATAAACGATAAAATGTTGCAATCCGTTATAAAGGCTGAGTAATCCTGGCAGTAGTTGAAGTTGACACAGTTTTTTTAATGTGGACATCTGTCATGGTGTCTTTCACATTTTGCATGGAGCTTCTTAGATTCCTTGAGGACATCACGTTTTGCAGGCATTCAGGACGATATAGCCAGCGTGAAATACGAATATTGGTCATCATTTGCTCCTCTTCCTTTCGAAATAGTAGTAGCTGCTGGTAAAAGGGTCAGAGAGGAGGATATTTCATGTAAGATTTCATTTGATATCCATGCATACTCCTTCCACTCTCAGTGGAGAGAGAACTAAATGTCTCCTTGTTTCTTTCCTTCTCTCTGTAGCGAACAACAAACAATTTAGAAGAGCGGCAGAAGGTCCTGAAACAGACTAATGAGCTCTCTGGGGAGAGAAATGTTGAGAGCATGCTTTTATTTGAGAAAGGTCTAAGGGAACTGGCTTATTTAAAGGTACAGGATGCCGTTGCATTCAAAATGGCTAAACAGCGACACGCGAATATGCATAAAACCGAGGAGGTGAAAATGCCTACCGATTGTCAGTTTGAGGCATTTGAATTGAGCCAAGAGGAGTATGAAGATGTGAGGTTTAAGAAGGTACCATGTTACCTTTATACTATGTTTCACTAAGAATTTTTTTGCATCTTAAGGCTCCAATATCTAAGAAAGATGATTATGTCATTATGGCTCCAAGCTAATCCTTGTTTTCTCTTGGATCTTATGTTCATTGCATGTAATTTGAAAGTGATTATTTGCAAGAATATGCAACTAGTAATCTCTTGGATATTATGTTCATTTCATGTAATTTGAAGTTGATGAATCTTATACATATAACAAGAGGAAATGATACTGAGGTCGAGGAATTTTAAAGGCTCATGGTAAGCAGGGCTCATAATTCTGCCATTAGTCCTGTTTGTTCGAGTTAGTTGTTTCAACTAGACTTTTGCAATGACATTTGTTCTGCAACTACTCTTATGCTATCGAATTTCGTGTTTAAGAAGGTTTGGCTTTCGAAAAACAGCATCGATAAAAGATCAGTACTGATAAGGCATCATGCATTTCTTGCTGTCTGTACGTCGAATTGTTTCAATTTCACTATTTACCAATGAAAATATGTGTCATATAAGCTGTATACATTCTATGAGATGATTTCAAGAATCTTTATTGCTTATAGATTTGTTGTGTAGGCTTGGCTTACATATTTCTGGAGGAGGGCAATGAGCCATGGTGTGGAACCTGATATTGCAGACGAACGTCTGAAGTCGCGGATCAACCGCAGTTCACAATCCTCCACTTCGAAGGACGCAGTCGATGGTACTTGCTCTCTATTCCTCTCCCTTTCTTCATCTACCTATTGTGTTGACGAATGAGAACAAGTATTTGATTCACTCGATATATATCTAAACATGAGAATGAAGTATGATCGGACTTATGCCTATCCATCTCCGAGATCAGGGTAACATAAGCAGTTTACATATATGGTATGGTAAATTTTGATGTACTGTGATACCTGGTTAGAGTATGTTGATTGTTTGTACTCCATGCAGTTGAGCATGGGCTTATGGAGATTAGGAGGTTAAGGCTGGAGTCCCAGTTATGGAAGACATCACGGCGGGAACCGGAGCTCGGCACCACTGTCAGGTTGCATACTGAGACTGGTTTTTTATCAGGGATGCCATTCGAAAACCGATATTGCATGACTGCGATAACCTGCAATAGCATCCGTTAATCGCAATAAACGTAAAATAACAAAAAAAATGCAATTGAAATCCCTGTTTCTGATTAAAAAAGAAATGGTGGGAAAAATCTTCATTTATTTATAGGAATTACTTTACATGGCCTAAGCCAAACCTTTTACACTGTGAGAGTTCATTGCCTAGAGTTTATATGCTACAAAAATTTTGTATTATTTAGCTATTTTTTGCCAATGATAATGAACACAAGATTTTATTCAGCATTATTACACTATTTTTCTTGCACTACGGGGTTCACGCATCAGACGTCGTGTGCGTGTCATTACGTCTCCGTTCACCCCAATAGTGCCAAGACTCCGTAAGAAGAAGCCCGATTCACCTGTCATCGTTCAAGAGGCCTCTCTTATCATTCAAGAGGCCCTTATCATCGTTCAAGAGGCCTCTGTCATCGTTCGAGAGCCCGATTCACATGGCATAATATGTCGACATATTTATAAAACCCCTCAAGTGCCCGACATGATAGATGAGAGTTGGCTTTCGTATGAGTTACCGGTCAGTACCATTTCGGTATCTGAAGTGGAGAGGAGAACACTATCAGACACAATTATGGATAATACCCTTTGGGCTAAGACCGCAGTTGATTTTTATCTACATGAGCGGAGCCAGGGGTGTTACGCTGACATATGCAAACTCGACGATGATATGCATTTGTTTCTTGATCGGTCTTGGTGGGGTGTGTTATTAGGGGTTGAAGACAATGGCTATTTTGACGGGGAGTAAATTTATATTCTTCTTATATTTCATTTTGATTAATTTTTTTTAAATTTATGAAATTCACTAATATATGTATTTTTTTTATAAAACATCATATTGATGCATGGGTGTCATGTCTTCTAATAATAAGGAAATTAAAGAAAATAAAAAATACGCGATGGACTGTTATGCCGACGTCTTTTCACGTAGATCACTTGAAGGATCAGATAGACACTTCATATGTGTTGGGTAATGGAAAAGTTAAACTTTATCCTGCGTGGTGGGAGGTCGATAAGGTTAGTATTTATTTTTGAATATTTTAAAGGTGCTCATAAATAAAAATTTGATGTGCACAATCGAATTATTATTTATGATTGCATGTGTTTATCTATGTTTTGGAACGTTGTCATTGTCTTCTCGTCGAGCTTCATCTCCCATCCCTGAAGACAATGGTATATAACAACATGTTGAATTACATATCATTGTCTAATTTGAGAGATATTATTTGTAAGGGATGGAGCGCTCATTTGGCTAAATACTTGGATGTGATTGATTATTGGACTAATTCTGGAAACAAGAAGCCAAAGAAGTTCAAAGTTACAATGATCAGAGACGAGACCGCACCACAACAAACGTAGGGAGTCAGAGGGGATTGTGGTCCTCTCGTATGCATGTGCTTGGAACGTTTGACGACAAGAAGTAAATAGTTTCTACCTCCCATATATAGAGATAGAGGTGCAGTAGACTTGTGGTTTTGGCATTTTATGGCTAGAGTGATATATGCGAGACGTTGTTTACCTGCATCCGCGTGCTGAAAGTATGCATAAACAATTGGTAAGTTTGAGCAAGTGTTGTTAACATATATACTCTTTGTTGGTTTGAAAATGTTTGGTTAAGTACCTAGAATTCAATAATTTGTTGTTTGTTAGTTTTAGATGTGGATAAAGTGTTGTTTGAGCAAATGTTTGGTTTCTACAGGTTAATCCTGAAGTGAGCTGCGTGAAATTGATGTATTTGTGCATAAACAACTGTCTGCGTGAAATTGATTTATTTGTAAAAAGTTGATTTGTAAAATTTGATTTGTTTAATTGATGAGGAAATAAGAATTATTTTTTACTTGTTTAATTGATTTGTAAAAGTTGATTTGTTTAATTGATATGTAAATAATTCTTTTTTTTGCTTGTTTAATTGATTTGTAAAAGTTGATTTGTTGTTTTAAATTTCAATCTGCATTATGTTGAAGGCAAAAAAGACCTGTTGAAGGTACACTTTCGCAACGCGAAAGTCAAATTCGCAACGTGAAAGTCAAATTCGCATTGCGATTTTCACGTTTCGAATTTGACTTTCGCAACGCAAATTTGACTTTCGCAACAATCGCAACAAAAAATCTGATAAGTGATAACAACTGAACAGATCATAGCAATGTTCAAACTCAAGTTACTAATGAATGTCTAACTGAAATGTATGCATTTACACATAAAATATAAATAATACAACGTTTGCATTTAAAAACCACCTAAGTTAATAAGTCTCAAAAGGTGAAGCCGGTTGTGATTGAGATTTTGATTTCCTTTTGCTTGACACCATATGAACATTCTCTCATGACCCTCCAAAACACAAATCTATCCAAACATGATCAACATTAGATGATTTCATTCTACAAATTGTAAATCATTTTACTAAACAAACGAGCTATAAACTACATATCATCACTAACTTAGAGAAGAACATACATTTATTAAGTTGATAGTTGATAATTTGGGAGAGAAATCATTGAAAAATTATATAGAAATAAAATTATGTGAAAAAAATACCTTCCGAATATTATCCATTTCATCCAGCTCATGAAGATAGGATAACCGTTAACCGAAATAGTCTGAGAGAAACATAGTTGATGTAGAAGCAGCTGCATATTTAAAATCTCGAAGGCGATCCATTTGGTTCTCAAACATTTAAAGTATCAGAAGCATTTCGGACTTATGATTTGGGTGGTACACGGGTAATGCAACAAAATGCATCAAAAAATTCTCGAGAATTAAACGTTAGATCTTTTAATAATAATGTTAAAATAATAGAAGATACACACATAAAACATAAGTACCGGTATAATTAACAATGTAAACAAATAAAAGTTCTCCGGTATAATGAAAATAGCCGTAAATGACAAGTTGAGACGCTTGTCATATACGCCTATTACCATTGCACCGGTAGAATTTTACCGTTTACATTGTTAATTTAGCAAAGTATCGATAGTTTATACACGTGTACCCTTCAATTATTTTTGTTATTATTACAAGTTGTAGCCCTCAATTATCGGGATTTTTAGTTGTCATTTGTTGCATTTTCCGTATACCACCCAGATCATACGTCTGAAACGTTTCTGACGCTTTAATTGTTTGAGAACCAAATGCATCACCATTGAGATTTTAAATCTGCAGCTGCTTCTACATCAAGTATGTTTGGCTAAGTCAGTTTCTATTTAGGGTTAACCTACCTCAGTGAGCTGACTGAAATGGATAGTATCCAAAAGGCATTCTTCGGATATCCAATCTTCCTACTTGTTAACCAAAAATTACGATGGTCAGGATTTCCCCCACGTTTAAAGTTGGAAAAAACAATGGAAATTAGGAATAATCAATGATAACATGTATATTGGCTAAGTTATTCCATTGAGTAAGTTGTTGTTTGGATGGAACAAAGGCTCGGGCTAATACTTATAGTGGAGCCGAAATTTATATTGAAATTCAAACTCAAATTGAAATTTAAATTCAAACTCAAATTGAAATCTAAATTCAAACTCCAATTACATATGAAATGAATTTGAAATGCAGTGTTAAATTGAACATGGAAATTGCATAATTGATTCATATTATTCAAGTAACATGTTTTATGAACCATCAAGCTAAAAGACAATATTGATTGAGTTCAAAGCTGAGTGTTGAGTTGATGGGGTTGTCACACTTGTTACATAATGGGAATAAAGTACTCACATGGAAGAGATATATTGTTTTGTTATGCACAGCCCATCCTATCTGAATGAAAATATACATACAATATAATCAAACCAAAACATACATAACAAATTTATACATAACAATGTTCAAATAATGTACCCACAACACTGAAATTAATCCGATGAAAAAGGGTTATTTCTAACGAAGTCCGGAACATTATTTTCCAAATAATGTACCCATAACAATGTTCAAATAATGTACTCACAACAATGTTTAATTGATTTGTTGTTTAATTTTCAATCTGCATTATGTTGAAGGAAAAAAAGACCTGTTGAAGGTACACTTTCGCAATGCGAAAGTCAAATTCGCGTTGCGATTTTCTCGTTTCGATTGTTGCGATAGTCAAATTCGCATTGCGATTTTTGCATTGCGAATTTGATTTTCACGTTGCATATTTGACTACATAAAATACAACTGAAAAAGATAAAAGACAACAATCTGATAAGTGATAACAACTGAACAGATCATAGCAATGTTCAAACTCAAGTTACTAATGCATGTCTAACTGAAAATGTATACATTCACACATAAAATACACATAATACAACGTTTGCATTTAAAAATCACTTAATTTAATAAGTCTCAAAAGGTGAAGCCGGTTGTGATTAAGATTTTGATTTTGATTTTGATTGCGATTTTGATTTCCTTTTGCTTGGCACCATATGAGCTTTGGATTTTGATGAGGATCCATATTTTAGTAGAGGAAAAGATGATTGTGATGGCACTGGTGATACACAGGTCAACCTTGTATGACCACTTTCCTTGCACCGACTACATATTGATATCCTCTTCTCTTCACCCTTACACGGTATACGATCGTGATTTTTTGGTCGGCCAGGTAGCCTGCTGTCCATGACTGGTGGCAAAACTGTTTGTAAGTCATTTGGTATGTCCCACTCAGAAGGATGTGGAATAGGGTAGACAATCTCGGCATAAGTCTGTCGATATACTTCTGTAGTGTAGCAATCTATAGCTTATGCGCTTGAATCATCTTGGTTTAGATGAAGAGCAACTTTTATAACATGGTCACACAGATAATTAGATGTTTGCCATTTCATACAACTACATGTCTTTGCATTTAGATCGACAAGCCCATTTAAGTTATTATCCAATACTTCAAACAAAGTGTTTAAACATGGTTCAACTCTCCATGACGTTGACTTCACAACACGTTTCATTATCTTTTTTTCAGTCCATGGTGTAACACGACATTCCAATGTTCCTGTAAATTTAAATAAATAATACTTAGTAAAATATATATTAAATAT